TATTATTATGATCACTCATAATGCTACTCTTACATTGTGCATTCTGAATGGAAAAGTCTCAATTCCACTTTACAACAGAAAGAAAGATGACCTTGAACCAAACCTGCACTAAAAGAAAAAGAAACTTCATCTAACAATTGGTTTGATTTTCTGTCCTCTACATCCTTCCCCCATATTTTTTTTGCAAATTCTTATTGTAAGAATGTTCATAGGCTTGTTAACACTAAATGTAAACAATTTTGAATAATAAAAAACATGTAGGTCTAACATAGCAGTGGACATAAAAATGAGTCGGAGGGGCAAAGTGAATTGATTCAACACTGAAGGGCCTCACCCAAAATTTGATTTTTCTTCCATAGACCTTAATGCACTGCTTTTACTACACTTTTTGCTCAGTTCTAATATTAAGTTTAAGAGACGATTGGTATCACGCCAAAAAAAAAAGGGGGGTTTTCTAGCTAAAGATGGTTGGCGGCACATAGAATTAAATCACCGTCGGGCTACATTTTGACCACCTGAGTTTTAGCGTGTTTATAATAGGGAGCATTTGATTGCATGACACGGTAAGGACGTGAACGTAATGGCATCACTAAAAGGTCATCCGTGCATGCGAGAATGTTAAGTTCTGGTCGTGTGAATTCTAGGACGCAATTTGACTACATCTAAGTTGTGCATAGAAGGTAGGACAGTCATGCATGAGTGAATCCGTTCTAGCACTGCGTCGTCGCGCAAATTAAAAGTCCCCTAGTATCTTATGTAGGTCAACATGCAATAAACGTGCATGTTGTCAACTTGTGCTGTACTGTACATGTTAGTTGTAGATGCTTGGTCACGAAAACGAAGTTCACTTATAACAGGCCTATAATAAAAGTATCTATCTATAGACATTAGATATTAACACAAAGCAATTAGACATACACAGCTGGCACGTAATCAAGATTATGTCACACACTGCCATCAAGTTAGTACATCTTTTTCTGTTTATCTAAACATAGCTTAATATAAACAATATTTAGAGTTTGCAATAGGACAGCGACGCTGTTTCAATATTGGTAAGTGAAGTCCATCCTGGTTACCTCATTATACCTGTACACTCTACCAGTCTGTTTACTTTTGGAATCTATTTGTACTTAAAGTGACAATACATAATAATGGAAATGGAATTATAACCAGAATAACATAAACATTTATGACTTAACAACCAATCTGAAAACCACTGGATTGTGGTAATAATATAATGTGCACAGAGGCTATAGCATTAAAAGGAGATTAGAAAGATGATTTTTTTTCTAGAGGGGATTTTTGATATGTCACTAGGAACAGAATCAGCTTTAAAATCATTTTTGGGCAATTTTTTCTGAAGTTATAGGCTATTACGATTTTGCTCCTTTAGCTGCGTGATGTCAGTGTAAGTTTACTGTCACCCAAGATTCTGTAGCGCCGCGTGCGGCACTATACAATTTTTGTTTACAGTATCTTACATTGACGTCATGCTGCTAAGGGGAAAAATCATAATAACTACATAAAAATTTGCCAGAAAACGATTTTAAAGTTGATTTTATTACTAATCCCCTGTAGAAAAAAATATCTTTCAAGTTCCCTTTTAAAGACTATAATATTCTAGAAATTTATAGAAACTTTTTTACCATATGAATGCAAAATTAGATAACAGTCTAGGCAGAATACATGCAAGCAGTGGAGTTGAATAGCTTAGTGATTACGATTCTTGCCTTCTAATCCCAGGGTTGTGGGTTCAAATCCTTAAACCTTATAAAGAGTCTTCGCTGATAAATGCATCACATTATTTCGTTTAAGAGGGCCCCTGAATATCGGCTGACCTTCTAAGATACGCTGGAAGGGTCACCCTCTATAAATATGGTTTTTAAAAAAAATTTTAAATCACAGTACAGTACAGTAGTTCACAATTTTTTAGTGTATGCGACTTGAGTTTGTGCCTGCCATGAAACTGCACTCAAATCGTGTATTTCAAGCTAAGTGGCTTGCAGTGCTGACCCAACATGAACCTTCACCCAACACGACATATGTGAAAACTATAAACGATTAAAAATGTTTGTTTTCAATGGCTAAGAGGGCATTCAATTAATTATTTTTATGTTAATTGGTATGGTGTTTTGGGTGTGCAAAAAAGAGCGAGGTTTCACCTTCCGATGGTTTTTGTCTTGCGCTGATTGTCAAAACACTTATAATGGGTACTCCTTGATGTTTTCACGCCTAGCGTGTTTGCATGCTTAGCTTGAGTCACGCATGGCATGTCTCTAGTGTGAACGTAGCCACTGTTCATTATATACTTGAAACTGACAGAAGAGCATGAAGCAATACATAGATACTTGGAAAAATTCATCTGGTTTCATAACGTTTGTTTTCGAATTTTTTGTTTTTGTTTTTAAAAAAACAAAAAAATGAGCTATTACTGTACTTATGCATCAATTATCACTTTCAACATGCAACAACATTTTTAAAAGTGCACCAATAAGGCTTTGCCCTTTGACTACTGTATATATTGGAGCATATTTATTACGAATGTTTGTCGTACCCGATGTGCAAATAAAAAAAAACTAAATAAAAAAAAAACCGGCATCGGAATAGCATTGCAGTACCTGCCGCTACTTGAGGCTCAGATTCATCAGTAATCACTAAGCACAAGCTTGGTGGTCAAGTGGTTAAGACACCAGGCTAGTTATCTGGAGGTTGTGGGTTTGATTCTAACTTGAATCACTTGCAAGATTCTTCTTCGCAAGCATTTGGGAACACACTGAGCATTCAGTACAATAACACGTCAGGTATCATCTGCTGTGCATTTCGCTTGTGCATTTGTTTGTGTCCTTAAGCAAGGCACATTATCTTCATTGCTTCTTTCCACCCAGGAGTATAAATGGTACCTGGCGGGGTTGCCTTCTACCCAATGACTAGGGCAAAAAACTTATGGCGCTTTGTAACTAAAAGGAAAAGAACTATACAAGCAACTAGTAACAAGAAACATCATTCGTATTATTATTTCTCCTGATGAAAAAAAAAATGCCATCTGAATAAATTATTTATTGTTACTTGGAAGTGTCATGGCTTCCTAGAAAAGTATCATGGCTTCCTAGAAAAGAGTTACTACTGTAATTATTCAACACAACTCAAAGTAAATTAACAAGATATAAAAGTAACCATCCACATTTGTTCCAAGCAGGTTTGGTACTTAATTATCACAAGTAAGGCTCATAGTTACTTGGTTAACTTTCAAGAAAGTAAAACATATTGCAAAGTATTAAAATTAATTTCTCATGTTTTTTTTATCATATCATTTATTTTGACTATAGGCAAGATTAATTTATGAAAAAACTCAACAGGTGTACTAAGTGGAACTGCTAAGAATAGGGTGGGGGAAATGTGGGGATAGGTAAGAAATTCCCCACCTGTCTACGAACTGTGTAAGCCACACAAAAAATTCAATGCAAAAGTACTAGAGGGCTCTTGTAGGAATAACTAAACTTGTTCAAGTGCTACTTGACATTTTAAATACTTCCAAACCAACTAATAACACATTAAAAAAATATACACTTAAATTTGAAGGACCTCACAGGAAATATGTTTTACTTCCTTTTAGTTTCGTTGGTTCAATGTAAATGTCACACTAAATAAAATAAACAAATCAATCAATTGTTCACAAATTTACAAGCATTGGATGTTGATAAATGGAATTTTACTATGGACTTTGTTGTTTGCCCTTTGAATACATGCATCGCCCACACGACAGCTTCAAACACATACACAAATACAAATTTTGAACGCTCAATAAAGCCAGGCATTCACTGCGATTCGTCGTGCGACGGTCATACGACCGCCGCACGAAGAATCTAGCTCTGCACCCGATGAGCGCAAGACGATGCGACGCCGCGTCTGCTGATTGTCGGTGGCAGTCCGAACGGATCGTCATTAGAAACGATCCGTTGCGAATGCGTAGTCATGTTGCGTTCTTCATAGAATCGCATCGGCCGACAGCCATCTGGCGCAGCAAGTGCCAGGCTTAAGTTTAATCGGCGAGTGTGAAAAAAAAGTTTCCCTATCCAATTCGAGCTCAGGACATTTTGCTGTCTATGCAGACACCTTAATCAACTGGGCACTTGAGATTTCAGTTGAGCGAAGGGCATTTAGATAATAAATTTTAATTTTTTTTCTCCTGAAATTTCCATTTTTCGTGGTGGAGGGTATGCTAAATGGCCAAAAAATGTTTTATTTTTATTCAGAATCACCATCATTGGCAGTCGGATGGTTCACTAAACAAGGTATAAAAAATTCTTGCCTTACAGTAGGTGAAAGCAAATAAAATTTTGAGATTGTTCCACAAGATCAGGATCAATCAGTCAATCAATTAGAATAAGTTATATATATCCGGGATTCATAATGAAATTACGTTTAAAGGCGCTTAGACAAAACTGACACAGCAAAAGCCTTCAAGTACAGCATTAAGTTTATTCATTAACATGATCATCATCAATAAATTTGGTACAGGTACACCATTAGTGAAAGGTAGCATTGTAAATAAAATTACCAAAATAAGAATGAAAATCTATTAACGTACATAGGCCAATACAAAATAAAAAATAATAAAAAAACAATGGTAGTGTTGAAAATAAATTAGAAATAATAATATTACACTATACTAATCAGTAGAATATACATGGATAAATTAATATATATCAAACATAGTGAAAGGTTTTGAATATATAAATTAAATAAAAATAATGAAACATTTGCTGGTAAAATAAAAACAAAAATTAATGAAACACAATACAAAACATAAATTAAATCTTAATATTAATAAATATGAAGAGAGTAGCTTTCACCTAATATTTCCCTACAGGTTAATTTACTTGCAATGCCTAAAATAAATTATATTTGAAGCAATTTAGACAATATAATGCATTTAATTAATCAAAAAACCTTACATAGAAATAAATAATCAAGAAAATAATAACTTGTAAATGACTTACATGATATCAGATGAAATTATTTCTTCTCACAGGTGAACAAAATATAAAATCCAGAAGGTTGAAATTAGTAGAGTATTTCAAGCCGGTCTCTGCCAGCTGACAGACTGATATGTTGTGACAAGGACAACTCAACAAAGAATGTTAGATGCACCATGAAAAAAATGGAATAGTCCAAAGTACTCTGTTCATCTCCTGCCTAATCAACCAATCAGCTGACAAACAACCTTTGCATACAACAGTAGCAGTACATACAAAGGTTTTGTGTACAGACCCAGCTATTGATACATACAGGTTATCTTTTTTGTTTTTTGTTTTTTATAAATACTGACGAATAATTTTAATATGTTCTGATAGTTTTATTGCCGCTGGATGAGACCGTAATCTTCCATGAAATCCAAAGATGAACTTCGGTACTAATGTTTGGCATGTTTATGTCAGTTTTTATTAATAATTTTTTTAAAGGAAATCCCACAGGGATTGTCAAGTGAAATGTTAGTTTCATTGTTTTATGTTCATGTTCCTTTGTTAGGACACAAAGAATGTATTAGTTGCTACCAAAGTTAGATGGTATAAAAAAGAATAGTCAATGTTTAATCTAAAAATATAAATCAAAATCGTACTTTAATCCTTAAAATATTATTTTATTATTTTTTTTTAATTTATTAATTTTATATGTGTATGTACTTTATATATTATTAATATTAAACTATTTTTTGTATCTTTTTAAAAATCATTCTATGTTTTAATCCTAATTATTTAAGAAAGAGTAAGAATGAACAGAGTGGATGAAGGTGAATTTAGAAGAAAGATATTCAGGGCATTACTATATTTGGAGGTGGTCTTTAATTAGAGGGATTTTTCAGTAGACAGAGATCTGTAGTTCATATTTGGGAGGTTTTAAATTAGGACTATGTTAGACATCACTTTTAACTTAGTCTTACCTCCACATACTTATTCTAATTTGGAGAATATTTGAAATTATTAAAATTAATAATTAATCTACAATGAAGAATGATAAGTGTCATTATCATGCTCTAATTTCTTTTAATTGATTACACCAATTTTGCCCTCAATACATATATGCAAATTATTCCATATGAAATTAATATCCCATCTAGACAAATTAATGACAGAGGCATAATTATCACTCTGTTTTCTTTTGATTAATACGTAATTTTTACCTTCAGTCCATAGTTCAGACAAGAAATGAATATCTATCTACACTGATGCATAATAATTCATACAATACAAGCAATCATGATTAATAAATATTAGTAATTACTTTGTTCAACAAGAAATTAATATCTATCTACACTGATGGATAATTCATACAATACAAGCCATCATGATTAAATATTAGAACCTGAATATTGAGATTAACCAATAAATTTTATTTGCACCTTAATAGAGTGTAATAGATAAAACAGCCCTCATGAACAATAATAATGAATATTCTAGAGAGATGTTTGATGTTACAATAAAATTTTCCTCATTATGTAGCTGAGAACATGGCCCATAAATGGGATGTTCCCTGAATGAGTGTTACAGAAGAAGGGTATATAGTTTAACACTACAGAAAATCCCTACTCAGGGAAGACCCTTATCAAGGGTACACTTTTTGGGTTCCGAAGGTGTTCCCTTAATAGGAGTTCTACTTCGAATTATCTATTTCTCCTTGGTTGCTGGACTATCATCGTCAGTAGTAATAATTTTCATATTCCTACTTTGGCCTGTTAAGATTAGATACCTAATGTTGTGTGTCTACGAGTCTCAAATTGTGGGGGAGGGGTGTTGGCTGATGGAGACGCGAAGGTGTACTTAATGTCTAGGTTAAAGCAAACACGCAAAATACAGTGATTTGAGGTGGTTTTTTTTTGGGGGGGGGGATGTTGGCTGATGGAGGCGCGAAGGTGTACTCAATGTCTAGGTTAGGGCCAACTCGCAAAATACAGTAATTTAAGGTGGTTTTTATTTTTGCTTCAAACATTTTCAATTGAGGAGGGGAGAACTAGGATTATTTGGGGAGGGGGTATATACATACGCCATTGGATTCCAAGTACCAGCATAATGAATTGATCTAAAAAAGCAGATTCCAAAAACATGCCTTTCTTTTTTCGAAAAGTCCAAACAAGAAACTGCTGTTTATAATTTCTTAATTCAAACAGCTATGTTTAACTCATAGGAGTGTGCTTTTTACTTGACCTAATATTTTTGTGCATCAAAGCTAATTTTGCAATATGGGTCATATAATTGAAACTTTATTATTATTATTATTATCATTGTAACTCTTTTGAAATTTTTGAGCCATTGTTTGAAAGAGGAGCTTGTCTAATTACAAAAGCTCCTTCGAACAAAAGGATATTCCAATTGGACCAGCTGTCAATCACATACAGTAGTATTGTTGTAAATAATACTCGTATTATAAGCATTATTATTACATGAAGTATTACTATCAATGCCCTTTTGCAATGTTCAGCAGACCAATTTATGTTTAAGATCATTAAGTACTGAGAATGTAATTGTTGTTTCATAGATTTTTCTTTGGATAGTTATTTTTCATTTTTACATATTTAGTAAGCCGTCGTAATTGTACCGATGATTTTACACAAACACTATGTGCTTGTTGGTGGAGCTGACTTAACCCCTAACCTTAAACTTCATTATTAATATCTTCAATAAATCAATCAATTAATCATTCCTGGGGCGGATGCAGAGGAGGTGCAGAGGGTGTGGTCACACCCCCCATAAATTGTATTAAGAAAAATAATTGTTGTATTGTATTGTTGTAAGGTATGAGAGTGCAATTTTCGGGCACTTAGCGGCAGGCGCGGATCCAGACCTCTTCGCACCGTTCGCCAATATAAAGTGATAGCAGTGCCTGGTGGTCTGGCAAATTCCAACTCTTTCTGTCAGAAATACCACCTACCTAAACCAAAGACAAAAATATATAGACAAAATAAACTTTTTACATTGTCTAAGTATATTAATCAAAGATGAACTTTAATTAAATCGGCTGCGAGATAACGTACGGCACACTGTTGAGTTCTTTTATTATTATTGTGATTTATGTCACAATGTATGGTTAATACAAAATCAATCACAGGGAGGATAGGCTATACATGTGCATTGATTCTTATCACCTTATTGAAAGGCATATATAATTTTATTATATTTTGTTGTTCCAAAATTACACCAAAGCGAAAACATATTATTTTAATTATTGCTTTTTGATTAATAAATTATTATTTCATTATTTTAACGAATGCTATTCGTAAAAAAAAAAAAAAACAAGACTTTAATGGAGTTGGTAGCCTAATTGTAGAATTAAAGCTTAAAACTTAAGAACACACTTAGGTACAGTACATCTAAGAGAGGCAAAAATAACCACCAAGCACAAAGAGACTGAAAATGAACACAGAATCTGAAGAAGACGTAAATGGTATGTAAATTTCAAGTCATACAGTATTGGAAGCGGAAAAAGAATTAAAAAAAAAAACAAAAAAACAATCAACCAATTACAGAAGACATTTATGCATATTTAATTACTTTCCCAGCTGGTGGTGGTACAATAAAAATGCATTATTATTTTTCCTGAAGTTACAACTTAAAAGTTGTGGTATTAAGATTAATTTTAGAACCGCATTATTAACAAGATTTAATTAGGTTTCCTTTCCACGTTGGTACATGCATTTAAAACATATTTTTTTAATTTTTTTTTTTTGAATTGAATTTAACATGTGTATAATGATTTTAATAAACAATCATAATTCTCTGTATCTATTAAACATTTAAAGAATGGACTTTCTTATGTTGTGGTCATATCAACTATAATAATTTTTAAAGAAGACCGTTCAAACAAACAACATAAAACAAAATTCCCATAAAACGTATAATTTCTAGAAATTTGGATATAGAGCCTTCCTTATGATTTAGGCCTAAGAAAATATAAATGTATATGGGTCTAAACTTTGTAGGTGACAAAGTGTTCTTCCTTATGTTGTGGTCATATTAGAATATAATATCATTAAAGAACATTCAACAAACAACATGAAACATATATCAAACTTTTAGGTTAAACTTTCCTCTTCCGAGCATGCATATAACATAATTTTTAAATATATGATATTTTCATGACAGTCGAGAATGTACTGATTATATAATTACTGTTGTCCAATTGGGTGCAATGAAAATGTGACGACGAACTCGAGATATGGGCCTCGGTTGACACTCATATCGGAGGGCCTGTTAATTAACCTTGCACAAGAGCCTCAGTCATCAACTGCTACGATGCCTCCTCCTCCTTCTTCATCATCACCATCATCATCTTCATCATCGCAATTATTAATTGTCCATAATAAAATGGAGGAAATCTATTAATTCAGTGCGTATTCATTCATCAATAGAAGTCTTGTAATGCACGCAAGTGCACTTCTTAGCATGTAGAAAAAACAAAACTTTCCGAAGCTAGGAGAACCCCAAGACTACCGCAAACCACCCCCCTGCCCCATGTCTAAAATAGTTTTTCAGCGACGGAACAAGCAAACATTACGTTCTCTTCCCATGACCCCGCCCACTCAGGGACCCCATTATGTGTGATAGGTCATGGTAAAGCTCGGTTTCCATATAATCGCTCACACTATCGGAGACAGTCGCCGACAGATGTCGGGAAGGCTGAACCTGGTTCAAGTTTTCCGATAGCGTTGCAGACGCAGATGAATCAGGGTGCATTGCTAGCTGCCCTGTGCAACTGGGAAGACATCCTGATTCGTCTGTGAAACACAACTGTCACGACTGTCGCCGATAGGGTGAATGATTCTATGAAAACCGAGCTAAGACTCTGGATCCACGCTTGAGACGTCCCTATTCTCAAAATTTTCTATTCCCTCATCCCCGACCATGGTGGGCGCAGTGAGGTGGACCCTCACACACCCCTACCGCCAAATCCTGCATCCGCCCCAGCATTTGTTCCATATATGTGGCCCCATTCTAACAGTTGTTGCTTGTGGTACTGTTAAAAAAAATATTATAAAAAAGAAGATGCATCTTGAGTGGTGAATTAAAACTGTCAAGTGAAGGTGGATGTTAAATGTTCAAAGGAAGTTTATTCCAGAGCCTTCGACTAGCAG